GGTGTACGAAGCAGGTACCATACTGATTCAGAAAGAGTATAAGGAATGGTTTTGGCATCACCACTTGGCAGTATCGAGGTACACTCGACTTGAGCTGGAAATGGCTTGGGACCTCGTCATCCTTCCCGTAGCCTCAAGGAGGCCCCTTTTGAGGTCATTGTGAGCTTAGCACAAAGTTCTCCTGGAGTGCCTTCATTTAGGACTGGAAGCCCTATGTTCTGTTGGGCGTCCATCTTCCAGCCGCACCAGCAAGTCTGTTTTGCATTAAGTGGCACAGGGTAGCTGAACAGTAACTGTCAGTAATAGTAGCTTTGTGTTTTGCGACTAGCCCAGGTCTTTCCCTTTCATGTCAGTGGCCCCTGGGCTGGCACAGTCTACTGGCAGACCACAAGAAGGCAGAAAGCTCAACATGGTCATTGTCCTAAGGACTGCAGATGGAACACTCATGGCACGACACCCACCTGAGCCTTAAACCAACTACTTGCCTCAAATATTACATACGTGAAATGTCCGGGCCAGTCCGTTGGTCTTTCACAGTTAACAATGTCTGGTGTGACTGACCTTAACTCGCCAGGGTCATGGGTGGAGGTCTTCGCTCCAGCATCACCGACCCACCTGATCTCTTTTTCGGCTGGAGACGCCAGGGCTTGAACCCGGGGCTTTCTGCACGCTCAGCAGGTGCTTTGCCATTGAGCCTCAGCCCCTCCCATGTAATATCAGTAATAAAAGCTGAGGTTATGCCCGCACAGGCATTTTCAGGGTTGGGTTTCTAGTCAGCCAAGGTGTCCCGTTCTCTTAAGTGTTTGTAATTGGATATCTTGTTTTAAATAAAACACCTTAGAGCATTTCTAAAGGGGATGAGTTATATGTTGAAAAGCCGCAATGTCTTAATTTTTACTGTTGGTTCTCAGTTACAAATCAAATATTTGCTCATGTAACTTTTGTGTTAATCCCTGGTGTGTCTGTTACACAGGGCAGTACTGTCCCATTATTTCTGAGGGTGGGAAGGGGAGACAATAAAAATGACGTCCCAGTTCTTCTTTCTTATGTTTATAGTCTGTGACTCAAAATTCCTTGGAGCATAAAAATGTAAGATAATGATTTAGCAATTACTTTATGGTTTTTTTCCCATTTAGAATGTAGCAATTGCTGCTATTGTTGAGCTACCAACTGGCTAGCTTGCAAAATAAACATTTGTTTTTCAGCTTACGTGATAATTTTTAGGAGTATTCAAACCAACTTGAGAAAGATTTGCAGTTAAACCTCAATTTGATTTTAATCCAGTGCATAATTTTGAGAAGTAAAAACGGGAAATATCACTTCTCTTTTTTCCTTGAGAGAGTAGGGGTTTTACATGCTGAAAAGTATCCCATTCTGGCAGTAGGGTACAGATAATTGTTTAAATTCTGTCCTGATTCAATCTTAAGGAGATCTTGGAGGAAGGAAAAGAAGTACCAGGAACAGACGTTCCCATTGGTGGTGCTGAAGGATCTACTTGAAACAGGAAGGACTGTCTAGGCAAATTCCTGAACTCATGTTTTTAATCAGTAACATGATGATTCCTAGTAATGACCTTTAGATCTAATTCTAAACCGTGCGACAGAGTGTGGATCAAAAACTCCACACAATGGGGCCAGTGTAGACAGCTGGGGATATTGTTCTTAAAGGCCGTGGAAAGACCCAGGTTTGCAGGGGGGGAAATGATACGTGAAAGACATATACTGCAGGTGAGGAAAAACCACAGGAGCAAATGTCTGCTTCTTTAAGAAAAAGCATGCAACTGAGACCTTGCAATTTATTTATTTATTCATTATTTTGTATTTATATCCCGCCTTGCCTGCACAGGGAGGCTCAAGGCAGTGTACAACAGTTAAAACACAATTAAACACAGTGCATAAATGCAATCCAATAAAAATTCCACTTAAAACAATATACAAGTAAAATACTGATCAGTATAGATGGCGGTTGCTGTACAGACCAGCATCCATAAGTGTTCTTAATGCTCATTCATCAGTGGTGGCTCCTAATTGAAAGCCTGGTGGAAGAGCTCCGTTTTACCGGCCCTGCGGAACTGTAAGAGGTCACGCAAGGCCCTGATGTCTTTCGGGAGCTCATTCCACCCGTGTGGAGCCACCACTGAGAAGGCCCTAGCTCTGGTGACGGCCAGTCTGACGTTTTTCGGGCCAGGGAGAGTCAGGCGATTTTGCAGCCCTGACCTCAGTGCTCTCTGGGGGATGTATGGGGAAAGGCAGTCCCTTAGGTAGGCAGGCTTACAAGGTTTGGTAGGCCATCCCTAGCCAATGTTGCTGCGGATTCCAAGCCTCAGTCAGTATCAGCACAGGGCACGGGGAAAACAGACTTAAAAAGGTAAAATATAAGATTAAGGGAATGTGGAGGAACAGAAAAGGTAAAACCAAAGAGGGGGGAGTGGAACAGAAAAAGAAGGAGGGGAGAGGGCTAGAGGCTGCCAGGAAGAGGAGAACAGGCAGAGGTAGGCTGACGGGAGGGAGAAAAAGGAAAAGTGAGTGGCTGCAGTCACTGCTGGGGGGGGGGAGAGGCAAAGCGGAACAGCAAGAGGGAGCGAGGCAGTGGGAAAATGGGACCCTGCCCCATGAATCCCTGCAGGTCCCCCACTTTACTGTTTCTCATAAAGTGTGTCACCTCTTGAAAATTAACAGTTTATTAGAATACCTTCCCTTTTCATTATGTGTCATCTTTAGAACACTTAGCCTGCCCTTCAGTCAGTATTGGTACCCAGTGTGGCTTCCAAGCTCAAAACAAAGGACCTCCCCCAAAATGTAAAATTAAGCCCATCTCTCGCCCCACCCCCAAGAAAAAGAGACCCAAGCTGTTTTTTCCCCTCTTTGCAGTGCTGCTCAGGTTGGGGCTACAGAGCCCCTTTCCCCAGAAGTAGGTGAGCAACCTCAGGAAGAGGTCAGCAGTCACCGGGGTGGGGGGGAGCTTCTTTTCTCTCTCGCCATATTCATAGAGCACCAAGTCCTCTTATTTCTCCGCTGCTGTTGGGCAAACAAATTCTTCCTGCCCGGCCCGCACACAATTCTGAAGTTTGAGATGAATTTCACTTTGCCCTCATACAGGTAGGCGGCCTGCAGGAGCGCATTTGTGTTTGCTGCGTGCTCACCTAAGTGCGAATCTTGCTGCGTGTCCCGTTGGGGTGTGTGAGGAATTTCACATTGCCCTTTTTAACCCGTTTTGAAGCCATTTTTGATCCATCATGGAGTAAACCGGTATAGGGCTGCCATTTCACACATGGCTTTCCCCTTCCGGTAAAGAGCTGGATCTGAAGTGGTTTGCCGTTTCAGACTGCACCGCTTTTTCCCCGCTGTTTTACGCCCGTGTGGGCGATCTCCGGCTTTTTTTTTTACATTCGCTTTAGAGCGCTATAGCACTATAACAAAACACTCCAGGCATTCCAATGGGGTTGATATAATGCTGTTGCGTTATAGCGCTATAATGCTATAAAGCGAACGTTAAAAAAAAAAGCTGGAGATCGCCTGCGTGGGCGAAAAACGGTGGGAAAAAGCGCATCGGAACTGGGAGAGGAAACTGAAGACTACTTGGAAGCAGTTGACAGGTAAAACGCTTCAGTCCCATTTCCTAAACGGGACAGAAGCATTTGTGTCTGAAATTACAAATATATTCCGGTCGGGAACCGGTTCTAAAACGGTTCTGTCTGAAATGACAGACCAGAAACTGTTTGGGAACCGTTCCTCTTCCGGATTGTATCGTCTGTCTGAAATTCCTCAGTGTCACTGACTCCTTTCTTTCTCCTCTAGTCACCTCTTCATCTGGCAAGCTCACAATGCCCTGTTTATTATTTGCTGCCTGCTCAAGGTGTTGGTCTGTCAGATGCCGGAAGAGGAACTGCAGCTTCATTTTACCTACGAGGAAAAAACACCAGGAACTTATGGTAAATGTTTAACAATCCTGCGTTACTGAGATGGAAAGCTAGATATAGAATTATAGAGAAGGGGAGGGAAATTAATTTTGATGAAGAATCAACTTCCCATTTTGAATTTATACAAGTTAAAATTTCAGTGATATGTATTTCAAAAACTGCTGAAATAAATAACGATTAAAAGTGAATACGGCAGAAAGGGGTGAGTAATTAGGTGGGAAGCTAAGCTGTTTATAAGTTGTAGTAAATTCATGCCACTGGTGGATATTTATTTGGGAAAACAAGTATTTAATAGTAGTTGCAATAAGATATTGACAAAGGATGTTGTAAATATATGGATAGGAATTCTTCAGAGTAATGAAAAAGGATATTTAGTGGTTAATGACCATCTGAGACGTTGTGAGAACCTTATCAAAAATGTTGATTTTAATTGTGAAGGTTAATTGGAATATATTTAATTAAATCTTAAAAGAAAGTCTTTATTTAAAAAAGCATGTTCAGTCGCAGTATTGTCTAGAACTAGTTGTATCACTGTATACAGGAAACATTGTTTATGTTAATGTTTTTGTCTTTGTGTTTACATGTGTGTCTATTATTTCTAAAAATTAAATAAAAATGTTTTTTAAAAAAACAATCCCAAGAGAATATTAGCTGCTGTAGATTTTCCGGGTTGTCTGGCCATGGTCTTGGCATTTTAGAACCTGACGTTTTGCCGTCAGCTGTGACTGGCATCCTCAGAGGTATAACACAGAAAGATGGAGTACTCTCTGTGTCAAGGTGAGAAGAAAAATGGTAGGCAAGTTTATATCTACTCAGGAAGGTGGGGTAGGGCTGAGTCATTATCTTGTAGGAGTTCCCCAGGCTGTGAACATGCTAATGGAGGAGCTTTCCTGAGGAGGTTCTTTTGTATATAGATTATTTCCTGAGGAGGTTTCCTGAGGAGGTTCTTTTGCATGTGGATTGGCTGTTGAAATTCCAATCTTATCCGTTGTGCTATTGTCAGCTGTAGAGCATTTTGTGTTTTTCAGGACAGGAAACCATGCCTTATTTAAATTGTGTTTATGTTAATGAATTCATGAATCCTAAGAGAGCAAATAACCCCACACTTTTGCCGAAATCTAAATGCTGTTTGCTCTGAAGTATTCCAGTTTTTGTGCTTCATGGAGGTGGGCTTTTACATCGTTATGATGGCTAGATGGGAAGAAGCCCAGTTGAAGAATCTTTGAGCCCATTTTTTTAAAAAATTAGAATGTTTATTAGCCACTTCTTTTCCTTCTGGAGTTCACGGTGGCTTACAAACCCTAGATAAAACACATAGAATAAAATACATTAAAAACATAAAACCAAAATTTTAAAGCCCTGCTTAGAACTTAACCAAACTTAACCAAACGCAGCTCTAAATGAAACCATCTCCAGCTGCCTCCTAAAGATTGAAAGGGGGGGCAGGCCCACCTCCCTAAGGAGGTCGTTCCATAATTGTGTGGCCCTCTCTCGTGTACCCAACCTAGAGTTGCGAGCTCCGGCTTGGGAAATATCTGAAGATTTTGGGGCTTGAGGAGGGCAGCCGTTTTCTCCCAATGAACTGATCTTTGCCACCTGGAGATCAGTTGTAATAGAGGAAGAAGATCTCCAGCCCCCCACCTGGAGGTTGAACTTTGTAGGAAAACAACCATGATACGATAACGAAGTCGTGTTTAGGGGAAATATATCTTCTTTAATTAATCTTTAATTATCCAGTGAGTAACAAACCATTAAAGTTGTTTCCTTTGAAATAAATGGGTCTCAAGTCTTTTTGACGGTACAGCGCTCAATCGACAGTTTCACTCAAGGCTTCACCAGATGAGACCTTACACCTTCCATATTTTTTCTGCAACTTTTTTCCCGCTCTTTCTTCCTTTCTAACTTACATCATAAGAACATCAGCAGAGCCCTGCTGGATCAGACCAATGGTTCATCTAGTCCAGCATCCTGTCTCACACAGTGGTCAACTAGTTCCTCTGGATGGCCAACAACAGGGCACAGACGCCGAGGCCGTCCTTAAAAACATAGGAAGAGCCCTGCTGGATCACACCAATGGTCCATCTAGCCCAGCATCTTGTCTCACACAAGCAGTTCCTCTGGAGGGCCAACATCAGGGCATAGAGGCTGAGGCCTTCCCATTACGTTGCCTCCTGGTACTGGGATTCAGAGGTTGCCTGCCTCTGAACATGGAGGTTCCCCTCAGTCACCATGGCTAGTAAGCACTGGTAGACCTCTCCTCCATGGATCTTTGTAAAGCCATCTGTGGCCATCATTACAACATCTTCTGGCAGCTAATTCCACATTCGAGTCACGCACTGTGTAAAGAAATGTTTTATTTTGTCCGTCCTGAATCTACCGCCCATCAGCTTTATTGGGTGCCCTGGAATTCTAGTATTTCAGGAGATGGAGATGGAGAGAAAGTTCTCTCTGCCAGCTCTCCAGCCTCTGCATTATTTTACAAACAACTGGCTGCAGATGCCATAGCAGAGTGGCTGGCACCCTCTGTCATGCAGCTGCCATGGAAAGAGAGTTTTATAGTCACGCCTAACTTGAGTGTTCAGTGACCCCAAGGACACAAAAAACCGAAAACTTTGTTGATGACTGAATGGTAGTGGTGGTGGGGGAGGCATTTGCCCACTTGCACATGGGGCACATGATGCAGAGGAGTTCCCATGGATGGCGGGGCACTGGTGTAGGATGAGGGGGAACACACTTGAGACTTCGGCTCTCCAGAATCTCAGGCAGAGGTCTTTCACATCGCCCACTGTCTGGTCTTTTTGCACTGGAGATGCTGGTGTTTGAACCTGGGACCTTCTGCAAGCAAAGCAGATGCTGTCGAAGGCTTTCACGGTAGGAGTTAATTAGCTGCTGTAGATTTTCCGGGTTGTCTGGCCATGGTCTTGGCATTGTAGGATCTGACGTTTCGCCAGTAGCTGTGACTGGCATCCTCAGAGGTATAACACAGAAAGATGGGGTACTCTCTGTGTCAAGGTGAGAAGAAAAATGGTAGGCAGGTGATTTATATCTACTCAGGAAGTTGGGGTCGGGCTGAGTCATTATCTTGTAGGAGTTCCCCAGGCTGTGAACATGCTAATGGAGGAGCTTTACTCAGGAAACAGAAAACCTCCTGCTTTTGGTGATTTAATGCTTTTAAACCATTTCTGCTTCTTTGGGGGGCAAAAATTCAAAGTACAGATGATGCTCCGAAACCCAGCAGAAAGCAAACAAAAGTTCAAGGTATTCTGAGGGTTGATATTAACACGAATTCCACGAATCTGTCCTAAGAAGTGGGTATTGCTTAGGGGACAATAGGCCTTTTAATAAGGAGGTAACATGGATCTATAGACTTTCAAGGAGAAGAATAGCTTTTCTTTTAGGGAAAATGTTGTGTAATAACTTTTCAGAAAAGGGTCGGAAAAGGGAATGAAAGTTTGGGATTGAAATAGCAGCACAACCCCGTAAACATCTTTTAATTCTGTGGGGCTGTCCTAGGAATACCCTGACCTGATTAGCCCAGACCAGCCGAATCTCATCAGATCTCGGAAGCTAAGCTGGCTAGTATTTGGATGGGAGGCCTCCAAGGAGTACTAGGGTCGTGACGCAGAGTCAGACAATGGCAAACCACCTCTGAACATCTCTTGCCTTGAAAACCATATGCAGTTGCCATAAATCGGCTGCAACTTGAGGGCAAAAAAGTAATAACCCTAGGAGCATGAAATATTAGCTTGGTCAAATCCTATTGTGATTCAGCTGCTGGATGATGTCTGTGTCAATGGAAAAAGGTGGATAGGATTATAAAGTTGCTAGCGAGAATGGCAGCATAATTCAGGTTCCTCCCTGCAGGGAAATGTTTGGTATGAACAGCAGGGTTTTTTTTTTAATTGCCTGTGTTAAGAAACCTAGGTACGGACTTGCTTAAAAGCCAGGTGGTGTGCAACAGTAAGAAAAAACAATGCATTACAATGAAACCATCAAACCAAAACCCAATGCAACACCAACAGTCTCTGTTGGGGGAAAACCAATAGCAGCAGGGAGCATAAGCCAGTAAAGGAAAGGCAAATCTGGAAAGAGCTAGATTCGAGTCCAGTAGAATCCTTAGAGACCAACAAAGTTTTCAGGGTAATAAGCTTTAGAGAGTCAAAGTTCTATTCTTCCAATACCTGGACTTCTGTGGTGGCCTCCCATCCAAGTATTGACCAGGGACGACATAACATAAGAGAAGCCAAATGTTGGATCCGGCCAATGGCCCATCCAGTCCAACACTCTGTCACACAGTGGTCAAAAACACCAGGTGCCATCAGGAGGTCCACCAGTGGAGCGCGGATGCTAGAAGCCCTCCCACTGTTGCCCTCCCCCCCCCAAGCACCAAGAAGACAGAGTATCACTTGCCCCAGAGTCCCTATCTATACCTTGGGCTAATAGCCACCGATGGACCTCTGTTCCATATGCTTATCCAATTCCGTCTTGAAGCCGTCCATGCTTGTAGCCGCCACCACTTCCTGTGGCAGTGAATTCCACGCGTTAATCACTTTTTGGGTGAACAAGGACTTCCTTTTATCCGTTCTAATCCGTTCAGCAATTTTATTGAGTGCCCACGAGTTCTTGTATTGTAAGGAAGGGAGAAAATGACTTCTTTCTCTACCTGCTCTATCCCATGCACAATCTCGTAAACTGCTTAGCTTCCGAGATCTGATGAGATCTGGCTAGCCTGGGCCACCCACATCCGGGCATAGTTAGGATTCCTTCTTGCCTTTGGTGAATTAATGCTCTTAAAGCAAGTAATTTTGTATGTTTTGGGTCATGCATGGAAGGGGCTATCCAGGGAAGTGTTTTACCCACGGCTGCAGTGTTGAGCGCTTTCCCAAGGGGTGATACTCCCAAGTACTCCCATCCAAGTACTGATACCTAATGAAGGGGGCTTGACTCCTAAAAGCTTATACCCCAGAAATCTCATTGGTCTCTAAAGCGCTGTTGGACTCTAGCTGTTCTCC